AAGCAAACTCCTCAGTTGTGCAGGACTAGGGCATGATAGACTGATTAAAATTACAATTGATGCAGAGCCTGCCCATGGGGCACAAAATTTGTGACAAGATGCCCCCCCCCCCCCCCCCTTCTTCAGTTTCTCCACTCACCTCTTAAAGCAGTGGTTTGTGTGGTCTGTGGATCCAATATTAATCCATGACAGTCTCACAGTTGAGTTGGGCCATGGGGTTTCAACAGGAAGCCTGGGCTGGTGCTCCAGCTCTGCTTTTCATGTGAAGTTGAAGCACCAGCACTGGCTTCCCAGTGGGTATAAGCCTCATTGCCTGTATCTGGCTTGTAGGGAGAGCATCTCCACAAGCTTATGGTCCCACTCTCTCTGGCAGGGGGAATGTTAGTGCATGAAACAGCTTGCCTAGAGGATTTCTTCACCTCTCCTATTGGATGGAATCCTAGCCAATGGGAACAGTGAGGAGTAATTCCTGGGACTAGCAGGATGCATGCTCCTGCACCTTCCCTCCCTGAGCACTGACTGTCCTGGCCTGACCTCTGCCCTCCAACCCTTTCCTGCACCTGTTTTGTCATGGGTGGTCACTGGTGCTATGCAGAAAGGTGGGTTGAACAGAGAGTGGCTCAAATTTTTTAGCTTGTAGCCCAATCTTCAAGGGTGATATTTAGAATGCAGAAACCTTGACCAATATCCTCTGCCCTACACATTGGTTGGTTGAGCACCAGCACAAGGGACTGTTGTGGAGTTGGTCTGGGCTGTTGGAAAAGATCAGCTGGAAGTTCTCAAGCTATTGACTTTTTATGTGTAATCTCATTGATCCATAGGCTGAAGGTTTTGTGACTATTTCAGCCAAAGAGTTGAACTAGCAACCCTAACTTTGACCAGAATGCAGGGTTGGAGATTTCAATTTTTGCCTGTAAAGGGTGAGTGAGTAGGAAATTTGCTGCATAGTTCAAGTCTAGCCATACATAACGTACCTAGGGTTACTGGCTCTCTGGTTTGAGATCCTGACAATTCTGGTCAGTTCTGTGGTTATACAGCAGGAGCCTTACCTATTTTAACCCCATGTGACTCTTGGAAAGAGCCCCCAGTCTCTGTGCTCCCTAACTGCATGGAGGAGGGATATTAAATTGCAGGTAATTGAATAGTTGATGCATTTTGCATCAACTAAGCAAGAGGGTGTGTCTGCCTTTGAAGTGTAGAGAAAGCCTTAGGGCTGTTACTACACTTAAAAGGCAAAAGCACCACGTGGAGCCAAGGGTCAGCTGGGACCCACTGATCCTGGGCTCCACATGGTGGTGCCACTTTAAATGACAGGCAGGGCTTGATGCTGGCCTCCTGTGGTTGCATTTCCAAGCAGCAGCACTGTATGAGCCTGGGGTAAGGCTCCAGGCTCCACATGGCACTGCTGCTTTGAAGTACCTCCTCCCTTCCCCCTCTTTCTGAGAGGAGGGGGAAACAACTAGTCTTTCACATCCCTACCATAGTGCCTGTCTGCCCCTATGCTAGCTCCACAGCTCACTGTTAGATGGCAACTGACCCATTAGGGGCTAAAAGAACTAACTGTTCATGGAGTGAGGTTAGCAAGCATCAGCCCAGCATGGAATGCCCTCTAGCCTACCCAGATTCCTTGCACACCAAACCCCTCATCCTGCCAGCCAACCCCAGAGGCTGCACCCACAGCTAGAAGCCTCAACCCCTTGCACCCCAGTTTCCTGCCCCAGCCTGGAGAAAGTAGGCACTGGAGGGAGAGGGGGGTGGGTGTGTGTGTGTGTGTGTGTGTGTGGTGGGTTATGGTTGCAGGGCAAGGGTGCTCAATTCTGTATAACCAGCAAGTTGGTAAATCCACGTGGGGCATAGTGGGATCTTATCTTACACCTCAAAAGGGACAATGTGAAATTTGAAGTGTCAGTGTTTCCCTCTGAGGCTAGGCTAATATTGTGGTAACCTAGTGATTGATGAGGAAAGGAGGAGATTGGATGTGAATGCAATGAAGAGAGCAGGTGCCCCCTAAACTTTGTTTTTAACATGTGAAGCAAAGGTGCTGTGAGTAGAGGCACTTCCATTCCCAGGTGTACTGGAACTCTATTTTTATAGTGACACACAAGCACCATGGGACTTGGAATGCTCCCCCACAACATACTTTCATTCCACCAAAAAAGTGTCACTATCAACCAGTGCTTCTCAAACTTTTGTATTTGTGACCTTTCATACAGCAAGCCTCTGAGTATGACTGACACTTCCCCCATCAAAAACTTTATAGTCAACTATTATAAATGTTGGCTATGTCTATATTGCAGTGCCATGGAGTCCTGAAATAGCTATCCTGTGTCTTAACAGTAAGTCTGTTTCAAAAGATAATGGGCTCACTAGTCTGACATCCCTGTAAACTACATTCCACAAGAAGCAAGGGATGTTTCAGAATAGTCAATTTTGAAATTGATTCAAAATGATCTATGCAATTTGTGTTGCTCAAATGGCGTAGCTTATTTCAAGCTATCAGTGCAGTGTACATGGCACCTCTGGACCTCTTGAAGGGTCATACTCCATTCAAGAACTCCTGCTGGAAACTGAAGCCAAAGCACAACATAGGGAAATGAAAATTTGACTAGAGCTGAAATTTAAGAAAAAGGTGAAGATTAACCTCTTACTAAAGTAGTACAGGTGGTCAGCATTTTATTTCTCAGCTCAATGCTTATGTGAAATAAGCCATATTGGAAACTGATTCAATGCTGTTTAAATACAAGTCTCTATCTAATGGTAGCTGTGAACTAATCTAGATTAGTATGGTCATTTGAAAGCTGTTTCTACAAAGTGGTCATAGATTCCATGTCTTCCTTCACCGTTCGAACTATGTAACTCTACCAGCCTGTTCCCAACTCGGTATGTCTACACAGTGTTTTGTCAGAAAAACTGCCATTTTTCCAACAAAACTTGAGTTATGTCCACACCGCAATCGCATTCTTCTGAAAGTAAATGGAAAGAAGAGGGGTTTTTCCAGTATTGGAAATCCTTTTTCTATGAGGAGGAAGCCTTTTTCCGAAAGAGTTCTTTTGGAAAAAGGCGTGTGTGGATGGGGAAGAGGGAGTTCTTTCGAAAAGAGGAAAAAGCATAGGTGCCCTGGTGGCCACTCTGTCCAAAGTAATCACAGCTTAAATGAGAGCGTGCATCCATTCCGTGTGGACGCTGTCTTTCAAAAAAGCATTTTGCTTTATGTGCTTTGTGTGTGGACTTGCTCTTTTTGGAAGAAGGTTGTGTATGGTAGATTTTTTTTTTAAATCTATTCCGAAAAAGCTCTTCCAAAAGAAGACTGCAGTCTAGACGTAGCCTCACTCTGATAGCTGCTGTCTCTAGTGCCCATCTTTGCTGCCTCATTTGTTTACTTCTGCAACAACTCTTGCCATTTTCCATAAAACTCCTAGGTATAGAATACCTGCCAGTCTCATTTGGTGAGCAATTAAAGTCTCTCTCTTGTGTCTACAGGTAAATTCAACTTAATTCTGTTTAGGCATGTTCATAACTTATAAGCTGCTTGATCCTACTGAAATTGCTGTGTCCTCTCTGGTGTTTGTTACTCTTATTTCTATGTCTGTTCTAAAACTAGATTGTAAGCTCTTTGGGGCAGGACCCATTTGTTTGTTCTGTAAACTGGGAGCTATAAAACTGTTCTACATAAAAAAAAATCTTCAAATAGCATAATGCAAAAGTATAGTTTACTATATTCATTAGATGTGCATATGTATTATATAATTGGGACAATGAGATGCCATTGTGAACAAAATGGAGCCTTATGCTATTGCAGTGAAACCCAGTGGGGAAGTTCCAGTCTTTTTATGCACGTTCACAAAGTGATGTCTGCTTTTAATAAACTATATTCTGAATTAGCAGTGGTCTTCAGTGAGTACTTCTTGAAAAGCCATCAAAAGGAAGTCAAGGAAAAAAGGGTTTTGTAAAGTAGTCCTACAGTGTGGGGGGTTTTCCCATCTACATGTTGTTACCAGTAACTAAGGAGAAGCTGTACACTCTTGCTTTGACTCTTTCATCTGAAATTAGTAATCTTCCTCTGCAACCTCTACCAGCTTAATTCAGCAGACAGGCTTCACAACCTGAGTAAGTTGTAAACTGGCTTCCTTTCTCACTCATCCTTTGCCTGCTTGCTGTCCCCATCTCCATGAAATAAGTACAACTTCTAAGGGCCAGCCAGATCAAAACCACTAGATTGTAGGTACTACAGGTAATTCTTTTAAAAGAGAAATCAAGCGATAATGAATTTAGCAAAGTATTCATGAGGTTGCTATTTCTGTTTTGTAGTTAGTTTGGCATTAACCTTTTTGTCATACTATTCTAGTGGATTATACTAGGGAAAAGTTAATGGCTCAGTGAAAGTGTTTGAAGCTTAAAGTTTCATAGATGTGGTATGAAATTAAAAACCTTTAGAGGCTTCAAATATGAGTTCGACTAGAATTTCAGGTTTTAAAGATCTAAAATGATGTGGGTCTGCATACAGCTGTTTTTAAACTGTACAGTATGCCAATTATGTTGCTGTTACTGTGATCAATGCCAGGGGTTAGCAAAGATTTAAATCTCCCTAGCATTCTTCACTCCATTGTTTTGCCTTCAAGAATGGATCATATCTTAACAATTCTATCAGATGCGGAACAGGACTTGGCTAATAAGTCACCTTTTTGAGAAACAGAAAATACAGGCAGTCCCTGGGTTACGTACAAGATAGGGACTGTAGGTTTGTTCTTAAGTTGAATTTGTATGTAAGTCGGAAATGGTACATACTGTAGGGGAAACTCTAGCCAAACATTTCTCCAGAGCTCAGTTTTATTCTGCCACACCTCCCTTCCCTCAGTCCTTTATTCTCAAGCTGAGGTGTCTGCTGAGAAAAGCCGCTCCGCGTCTCCCTGGTCTGCTGGGGGGAAGCAGCTAGTGCGGGGCTGCCTCACCCCGTTTGTAAGTAGGGATCCAATGTAAGGTGGATCCATGTAACCCGGGGACTGCCTGTACTTAAAACAGGTCTCTTCCTCTATATATCTTTGATTATCACTTAAAGATCTGACATTAGATTCTTAAGGCTTGTCTACACTACCACTTTACTGTAACTTTCTCATTCTTGGATGAGAAACTCCTTCCTCCTCCTTCTCCCCCCCCTCCCCCCCCAGCTTAGCAAGAAAGGACTGTAAAAGGCCAGTGTACATTGGTTTCCAGTACTGTTAGCTATTCCCCTCATGGAGATAGTTTGTCTAGAGCAGTGGTTCCCAATGTGTTGCCCGTGGGCACCATGGCACCCGCCAGACCATTTGTGTGCTTGCTGAGTGATTGGGGCTGGCCCTGCCCCCAGGTGCGCAGCACATGGGCGGTGCCGGCCCCTGGGCATGTGGCAGTTAGGTGGCCCTGCCCCAGATGAGCGGTGCGAGGGCTGTGCCAGCCCCAGGGCTTAGTGTATAGGCAGCGCTGACCTGGGTGCACAGCACATGGGCGCTGCTGGCTCCAGGTGCACAGCACATGGGTGGTGGTGGCCCTGCCCCTGGGATCACGGGACATTAGCTGTTCTGACCCCGGTCATGCGGTGTATGGGCGGCACCACCCTGGAGCGTGCAGCACAGATGTGGCGCCAGCCCTGGGAGTGCGGCACGTGTGGCCCCAAAAGGTTGGACCACTGGTCTAGAGCTCTGGGAGGGCTCTCTCCCAGTGCAGGTTACATGACCATGCTGCTACATTAAAGTGCTGGCGCAGCTACACATTTATTTATTAAGGCTTTGGCTACATTTACAAGTCAATATAGATTGATGTGCAGCCTCTTAGAATACATAAATTAGCCATTTACTTTTTCAGTGCTTCCCTTCACCAACTAAGCTGCAAAGTGCAAAATATTTGGTAAGGTCACTGACAAACTCCTATTACAAATGGCTGTCAGACTTCCAAAGCCCCCCCTGTAAATGAAACATTACTGCCTAGTCTTTTTGCTTTTTAGTTTTGCAGTGCCTATGAATCTTTCCATGATTAACAGGTACAAAGGCTTACACAGATGTAGAATTAAGTGAATTGTCCTACTAACACATGAATAATCTTTGCAGAATAGGCTTTACTTTGCAACTCAACTGTTTAAAGTAAAAAAATGTAGTGACTTGATTTTAAAAAAGGCAGCTCAGCCTAAAAATATATAGACGGCTAGCTATGGAGTTCTTAGAAGTGATCTACTGAACAGGAAAATTTCAGAAAACTTCAACTGACAAAGTGTTCTCCATGTAGCTTATGTGCTCAAGGAGAGGTGACAGTTGTGCACTAAAAGAACTTGGGATATATACAAGAAAAAAACCTTTAGCTGTATAAATACAATGTGACTGAAATGTTGTACAGGAACAGACTATTACCACATCACAGAGAAAGTTTTGTATTCTGAGGAAAGCATGTGGTTTTACAAAACATGTCTTGATACAAAGCTATCTGTGACTAATTTCTGTAAATGTTAAGTGCAGCAAATTTAACCATGTAGATTCACACCATGATAGGCATTGATTGATTTATATATTGATTATAACAAATTAATGAGGTAAGAATGAATAAGAGTGGATGCGGTATGGTTGTGGAGTAGACAGAAGAGGCAAAGAGGCAAAACATCAGGAGACCCGATTGCGCAAAGTGACTATGGGACAAACATGGAAAAAAAGCATGACTAAGAGTAACTCTGTGTGTGCTACCCAGAGAAAAGTCTGATGCAGCAGTTTCGGAGGAAAGTTTTACATAGCAGTTTCTCAGTGAATCATCAACAGAGCTACTGCTTAGAAGTGTATAAAGGTCCTTCGCGCCAGGGTATCAGTGAGGATGAATCAACAGATGCTGAGGCAGTGCATGCATGGCCATATCTCCAGCCTCTTCCAGCTACTATTAGGGTTGGCCACCTGATAAGGACGCTTGTGTGAGTGCTTGAAAAGGGGAATAGAATATATTGCAATTACATGCAAGCGATCTTAACCTCTTTGGTGATATATAAATATGGAATAAAACTAATAAGAATACTATCATTGTGCCCTCAATCCTTCAGCTCTAAGATCTCTGGAGCGGTCTGATCACCCACACCCAGAGGGACAGACTTATAACAGCATCTCTCATCTTATTTCTCTTTGAAACAAGTCATTTTGGCTTTTCCTTTTACATGTTTGGTACAGCACTGTTGAGTTATTAAACAGTGCTGCTATTGTGTAGTTGTACCCTCAGGGAGCATGGGATCAGCAGGCCCCAGCTGACCCCAGGCTCCACACGGCACTGTTGATTTGAAACACCCTGCCTCAATATTTCAAAGATGCAGTGTCGCACAGCTGATCCTGGGCTCAGCTATGCAGTGCTGCTGCTTTGAAGGTACCCCCTCTACCCTCCCCTTTGCTGCCTCTGATAGAGGCAGCAAGGGGAGGAGGGGCGGGGAGGGGAATCGACTAGGCGACTGACTGTCCGATAAGCATTTGCTTATCGGATAGTCTACTAATCCTTAACATCCTTAATGTATACCATTTGAGACTGTGCTACATGTATGTGTGTCTGTTTTTCTTGGATATCAGATGGTCACATAGCTGCATTCTGTTTCAGATACTTACACTTCAGAACTTACCCCAAAATTGTTACCTTTTATTTCAGCATTACATATTTGTATAACAAAATATAAGTGACCCATTATGAATAAGGATGCCTTTTGCACACTTCATGGCACAAATACATCTCCATGTTAGTTAAACCTAGAATGTCTTCACTCTAAACAATTTAGCTGGTCACAGCATGATCATAAGTCAAGTAAAATATTACAGTTGATTTTACCTATGTGGTTTGAGACACATTCTTGGCAAATCTGACTTTAAAAATTCTGTTTAAAAACAAATTAATTGTGCTTACAAAAGATTAATTTAAAACAACCAAGAAAGTGTTTTTTCTTTAGAGAAAAGGCAAGTTATCTAGAATGAAAACCTACCTGTCAGAGGAAATGCCTGATTCACCATTGTAGTTTTTCACTTTTGCACAGAAAAGTCAATGGTGTTACACAGACATAAGTGTAATGTGGTATTGAAACAGGTACAAACTATTTCAATATGTAATTAGAGGAAATGACAAGTATAAAATTAATGAGCAATCCAAGTTTGCTTGAGTATGAGGGTATGTCTACACTGCAGACTAAAGTCAAATTAAGATACACAACTTCAGCTACGTTAACTGCCTGCGTAGCTAAAGTCGAAGTACCTTAATTCTACTTTTGGTGCTGTCTACACAGCAAGAAGTTGAAGGAAGAACACACTTCCCTTTCTCCTTGTGAAATTAGTGTTACAAAGAAGCCCATTATTTCAAAGTAAACATGAGTTATTTTGAAATAAATGTGCAGTGTGGAGTGTGTGTGGGCGCGTGCATGTACATACACTTATGGGGGAGAGGAAACGTCTGAATAGCCTTCAGGGCCTCTTCAGAAAACAAAGGAAAGAAGCATTGTTTTACACAAGTGCAAAAAGTATACTTTACATCCACAGAAATAGGAAAAATACATAAAACCACAAGGAATTTAAGCCAAACTTTTATGAATCTAAGTCTCTTGCTTTTTAAAAAACTCTGCCACTGCTAGCAGACTAAATCAAAATTTAAGGTCACTTTATCTGCCAAGAGTCATGAATTTAGGGAGAAAATACATTTTTCCCTCCATTTGCAACCAGTGTCAATTTTGTACTTTTTTGGCATTCATTCTACAAAATATGGTTCCTAGTTCCAGTTATGACAACATTTACATACCCTCTATCTGGTCCCTACAACCCTTTTTCCATATAGTTCTATAAGTGCAGTATTGCAAATACTGTTGTGCAAACTAATTTAAAGGCAATAAATTCACACTAAGTAGAAATGCTTCTTCCACTGATGGCCTGGTATCCTCTAGTAACTCTACCTTTTGTTACATCTCAGCAGTTCAATCGGACTAGCAGCTTTTTACCGTTGTAGCTTCTAATGGTTGACAATTTACTATATTTACATAAACCATTCCAATAATTAAAGATGCAAGCCATCTGCATAAATCTCATATTACACTTTGGGTCATTTTTCTTTTTTAAAAGGTCCATATGCATTCTTGGCCTCCAGCATTTTTGGGTCATTTTTCTTTTTTAAAAGGTCCATATGCATTCTTGGCCATTTATGCCACTATCTTCAATCTCACTCTGTCAGAATGAATCCTAAATAATTTAGCAATTTTAATATTTTTGTTTCTGTCCTTTTTGGTTATCTTGTTTCTGTTCTGATGTGACCAGTCTCTTAAGTATTATCAAAATGCGGCCATTATTATTGCAATGAAGAGCATAGTGGCTTGGATTAACAGGTCTGCCCTGGTCGTCCCTTAACCTACTGAAAATTACATGATAAAGATCATTTAGCTTTTGCTTCATATGGCTAATCGATTTACTGCACTGAGATTTCTGCTTCTTAAGTCTTTCTTTTTGGGCTTGAAGATTACACACATCATCTTCCAAGTTCAGGATCACATCTAGTTTACGTTTGCGGCAGTTCTGAGCAGCAACCTTGTTTTTTCCTCTTCGCCTTATGTCACGCATAAGCGATATTTGAGTATCTGACAGATAGAACTTTGATAACATGTTGCTGAATGCCTCAACAGGCGCGCAGACAATTTCGTCTACAGAAAATGGAATTCTCAGGGCTCTCACGCGGCGTTCATCAGGGCTCAGATATTTATTTGTGCTATTGAGGCACCTGCCCTTTACTCTTTCTGATTTCTCAGAGGATGAAGGATAATGCTCAGAAGTGGATGCTAATTCATTTGACAGATGATTGTAAGTGTGATTATGAAGAATATGTTGAAGTGTGGTTTCCCCACAATAGTTTGAATCACGTTGATAGCCCAATTGGCAGTGTTTACTATGCTCTGGGTAATGACCCCCTACAGCTCCTATGTCCTCGTGTGAAGTATATTCTGTATCACTGCTATATCCAACAGCACCTTCATTGCAAGTTGAAACAGATGATGAATTTGAATTGTTTGAAGAGGCTCTGCTGTGGCTTGAGTTTAAAGAAAGTCCAGAATCTGAGTCCGGTTCTTCAAAGAGCTGAGAGACTTCCATCTGCTCAAAACCTTCTTCTAGTGCTAAGGCCATTAGATTTATCTCATCAAATATGTTTTCATCAAGATCTGAAAGAATATCGTGGTTTGTTAGGTTCCTAATGTCAACAGATGGAAATAACCCCAAATTAGTCCCATTAAGCAAGGATTCAGAATTTGTGTTGCTAGAATTTAACTGCAGAAAGGACTCTTGTTGCCGTACATTCCTTATTTCTGGGTTTGCCCAAGTGCTGTGGTTTGATCTCAGTAACATTGCTTCATGGAGGCTGACATCATGGCTAATCGCGTGGGTCAAATTTACACTGTACTGAGAGGAGGAGGAATTTTCCTAAAGAAAAAAATATACAGAATCAGGTAACTTTTCAAATTAAATACTTTTAATTTCCTCAGCTATATACATGCACATTTTTTTCCTTCACTATTATCCATACTAGTAGAATCCATAACAGCACTAAACTTTGTTACCTGTTGTGGAAGAACTATTTCCTACTTGTACACAGATCCTATCTAATTTACCATTGTAGAATTTTCCACAGATGTCATCCTTTAAGAATTGTGCTAAAAAAATTGAGATTAAAAACCATGTGTGATGGGGTGTGCACATCCTGCACTGTAGCAGAAGGGTTAAAACCCTGTGGGTAGAGGAAGTCCTGCCCCCCTCTCCCAGAGTGGGAATGCTTCAAGTGTTGGGGCAGTATAAAAGACAACACAGCAGCTTTGTCTGGGCTGGCCAGCAAGGGAGAAAGATCTCCAGCAGGAGCTACTGAGCTGCAGCCACCAGTGACTCAGATAGCAGGAACCAGAGCGCCAGGAGACTGATGCGACACAAATCCTGCAGAGTCCTAGGGAGATGATGCTGCCAGGAAACTAGAAGATCCGGCTGCTACGTAGGATGCTAACCCAGCTGAAGCGGTAAGAAGTAACCCAGGGAGGGTGCAGGAGTGGCCTCTCCCACACAGGTATCCTCAGTGTGATTTGGCTGGATTCCCTGCTGAGGGAGTGGCAGACTGTTCTGGTGCTCATACAGCCTTGGGTTGGGAGCTGGAGGAGCAGGGAGGGCCCAGGTCCCCCTTCTAGGGTACTAGCCCCAACCCTGGAGACTCTGGCCCTTAGGTCTCACTGCCCTGAACAAAGGGCTGTATACTGACTATTAGGCCATGTGAACCTGAGCCAAAGTCTGTCTAGAGACTCAGGTTGGTAAGGTATCCTTCCC